GTTCCCTTTTCCCATAAGTAATTAGTAAAATGTACTTTTTTAAAACTAATACACAGGTGTGCTGCGTTTTTCTTTATCTCTGCTACACTGTATACAGACAAGGGGACACAATCTCAAGGGCCCCCAAAGATTTATCATAAGCATCCAGATGTTGACGCTCATCCATCTCAGAAAGTTATTTCATCTCAGAAAGTTATTTCCAACCTTGCTGGAAATGGGATTTCAAAGAGCATGAAATTCTGGGCTAGTTTGGCACGAAGAATCAAAGTTGTGGATTCTATGCACTCTTTGTGAAACTGTGTTTATTTTAATATGATGTCTCTGTTCTTCTGGGTTTTTTTTTTTTTACTGATCTGCTGGGTGCTCCAAGTGTTTTGAAAAACAAGCTAAATGTATTTTAAACGTTTAAAAGGATATGTTTTCCTCTTTGGATAGTGGCACAAGTACATTGCCCCTGAATCTGGATTCTTAAAATCTAAGCCACTGAAAAGTTCAGGACAATCATGACCATCTTGCCACCTCACACACCTTCAAAGAAATTCAGCTCTCACTTTGTATGTGTGTAGAATTACCTTCAGGCTGGTGACCCCATGCAGTTTTCAAAGGGAAGGGACGTTCAGAGGTGGTTCTCCATTGCCTGCCTCTGCATAGCAACCCTGGACTTCCTTAGTGGTCTCCCATCCATATACTAACTGGGCTGACTCTGCTTAACTTCCCAGATCTGATGAGGTTGGGCTAGGCTGGGCCATCCAGACCAGGGCACCACTGGACTCCCCCAGAACCATGAAGGACTTCCTTGGTGGTCCCTCATCCAAATACTAACCAGGGCCAGTCCTGCTTAGCTCCCCAGATCTGACAAGGTCTGGGTAGCCTGGACAATCCAGGTCATGGCAAGAACGACACAAGGTTTAAAAAAGAGATGAAAAGGGAATGGTCTCCACCCAGGCTCCATTGCATCAGATAGTGCATAATAAATGAAATGAAATAATGCTCTGCCTTCTTGGTGCTTGGGGGGGTCAACAGTGGGAGGGCTTCTAGTGTCCTGGCTCCACTGGTGGACCTCCTGATGGCACCTGGTTTTTGGCCACTGTGTGACACAGAGTGTTGGACTGGATGGGCCTTTGGCCTGATCCAACATTGGCGTCTCTTATGTTCTTATGTTCTTAACTTACCTATTTTTAATATGTGGAGGGGGTTTTATGTCTGTGTGGGGGGAACCATCAACTTCATCATTTTTATTTATTTATTCCTTTTGGAAAAAATGATGCTGCCTCTCCAGGAACCTGCCCAAGGAGCCTTACAAAATAAAAGTAATAAAAACAAAATATGAAACAATATTCATTAAAATCCAGCATTGGCGGGGGAGGACCCAAAATGGCACATGAAGATTGACCATTAATCACGTCTTCTACCCCTCAAAACGTACATGGAATTTACAACCACACGGTTGAAAAGTGGGTGCCCCTGCCTTGAAAGGAATCAGTGGTGTGTCCCCGGAGGAGGAGGAGGAGGAGGAGGAGGAGGAGGAGGAGACAGTGCCTAATAGAAAAGTCTGCACGTCTTTGGCACCAGAGTGTAGATGACAATATGCATAATGAGTTTGCCTATTGGCTAATCAATAGATTTCAGGATGTCTCAGGGGTGGAAACTCACTTCTACTGCCTTTGTTCTAATTTCTTCCCTGGGGCACGGACACGGGGTTTAGCGTTTACAGGGGAAAGATGCGGGTTAGAAAGAGCTAGAAAGGGTGTTTGTTGTTTTGAACTCCCAGTTCCCTTTTCCCATAAGTAATAAGTAAAATTTACTTTTTTAAAGCTAATACACTCGTGTGCTGCGTTTTTCTTTTGCTCTGCTACACTGTATACCCAACAGAGGGACACAATCTCAAGGGCCCCCAAAGATTTATCATAAGCATCCAGATGCGGACGCTCATCCATGCCCCCTCTTTCTTTCTAGCAAGCCTGTCGCATGGAGCACCAACGTCATGGCTGGGCTCCTCAGTAAAAGTACAGGAAGGGGCAAAAGACTTCCTTCCCTCCCAGTTCTGAAAGAAGCTTTCTGATGACTTTTCTACTGGATGGAGCATTGTTTCCAAAGCTATTGAGGTACAGTAATGGGAACAATTGCAGACAGCAAAGGAAACAGAAGTGGGACCTTGCTTGGCTGACAGAGTCCAGGGGGGGGAAGCATTTGTGCTTCTTGAAGGAAATTACAATGATTTATTATAAAACTGTGGCTAGAAAAGAAAGATTTTGACTAATGAAACTGAGGGGTCATGAGGTAGTCCAGGATTCTCAGCTGCATCCATAATTTTTACTTACTTCTTCAGGAAAAGTGCTTTCCTCTGCAAATTCCAGTTTCATTCAAAGACACCCTGCCATCTTTAAGTATGGACACTGTCATATCATTTTCTATCCTACGGGAAAATGAAGTCTCTCTGGAAAATGTGTGGCGGTCCCTGCCTGCCCCCAAGGAGGGTCTCTCATTAGATGCCCTCAAAAACTGAAAGGCCAGAGATGCCCCTCACAGAACCCTTCCTGATCACTCACATGTATTGGGGGGGGGGGGTTTAAAATGTCTTTTGGCCAATAGATTGGATTCCCCTGTCTCCCTTGCTTTCCCCTCCAATACCAGTTTCAGAGCATCCCAGACTGTCTAAACTAGTATTTAGACAACTACAGTCTGTTTTATGCAATGCTATCATCTAATTCCAGATGGAGTTCACCAATGGGACAGTTCAGGAATTCATTTTGCTGGGCTTTGAGGTTGGGCAGCTGCAACGACTCCTGCTCCTCGTCTTTTTCACTCTTCTTTACATGCTCACCATGGCTGAGAACATCACCATCATCACACTGGTGGTTCTAGACACCCACTTGTTCCAGCTTCCTATGTACATCCTGCTGAGCAACTTCTCCTGGCTGGAGATCTGTTATGTGAACACCACTGTGCCCCGGATGCTCTTAGACCTGGCATTATCCAACAAGAGCATCTCCTTCAGCTCCTGCTTCCTCCAGTTTTACATCTTCTGCTCTCTTGGCAGTACGGAATGCTTCTTCCTCTCTTCTATGGCCTTGGATCGCTACTTGGCCATCTGCCACCCACTGCGATATCCACAGATTATGTCCCCAAACTTTTGCTATATCCTAGTCACTGTTTGTTGGGCTCTTGGCTTCCTGGCATACATTGTCCCAGTGACACTGATCTCCAAGATGTCTTACTGTGGCCCCAACGTCATTGACCATTTTTTGTGTGATGCTGGGCCAATTCTGGCTTTGGCGTGCCCTCCACTACTAAAAGCACCCACCAGTAGTCTGATTTTCATGGATATTGTGGTGATCCTAGGCAACATCGTGTTTGCTGTGCTGTCCTACGGCTCTGTGATTGTCACCTTGATGAAAAACTCTAGCAAAGGCAATCGGGCCAAGTCCTTCTCCACCATATCATTCCACTTGTTGGTGGTCACACTTTACTATGGCCCTGCAGCAGGGATTTATATAAAGCCAAGAGAAGCTGACTCCAGTGTCACTAAGATAGTAACACTCTGCTATACTGCCATAACACCCTTTCTCAACCCCCTGATTTACTGTCTGAGGAATGATCAGGTGAAGGAGGCACTGTTCAGGCTATGGAGAAGAAAGGCAGTGTTTTTGAAAAGTAAAACTGACAGTGTGAAAAAGAGGAAAAGAACAGGAAATATATCACAAAACCTGCAACATTAGTGTCCGAGAAAAAGCTGATAAGTTCAATGTGGGATAACAAAGGTACTGTTCTCCGTTCAGTGTTCCTGACTCCTTTGTGCGCTGGAAGACAAAAATGCACATTTCCACTAGAATACTATGCAAATGCTTTTTAAGCAGATATTTTGTAATAGATTCAGTACAATGAATGGTCCATTGTTTTAAGGCACTCGCAACTGTATAATTGTTATGCATTCCAGCAAGTGCAGTAAAAATAATTTTATGTTGAAATCATTATTATTTCTCCATGTGATCGAACTGTAGCTTATGCTAAGTCATATATGTCAACATATCACAGAGATGGCTTTACTGTCATTAGCCCAATACGGAATGGTTATTTTCTGAAAATGAGATAACTACTCTTCTGAGTTTGAAACGTGTTCTCTCCCATTCTCCCAGCAATGCCATTGAGAACAGAATGGCATTTGATTGTTTTTTCCCTTTCTTGACAGTTCCATAGGGCCTACAAGATGGAGCTCTATCACCGGGCCTTTAGTTGAGGCAGTGGGCCTCCACCTTGATATGGCCTCCCCTCCAGTGATGGCAGGTTTAAAAGACAAATCAAAACAAGAAAGGTGCTGTTGGAGATAGCTGGAGACTTCAGGTTGCACAGAGAGAGACCTGCTGGAATAAGGAGACAGACCCACTTTATAACAGTTAACATTGGCTGCCATTTTGTTTCTGAGTACAATTCAAGGTGCCCGTTTTAATGTTGATAGCTCTTCATGACCGGGGAGTCTCATGCTTGAAAGACCACTTCTAAAGACCCACTCACCAGCTCCATTCAGTCCACAAGTTATTTTTCTAAAATCCATCATATAATGTGATTTGCTTGTGTCCTCTTCAGTCTGTGGCATTCTCACTTTGTGGAATGACCAACCTGATGGGGTATAAAAACTGTCCCCTTTGGTCATCTTCCTCAAGATACGCACAGCAATTTCATCTCAGAAAGTTATTTCCAACCTTGCTGGAAATGGGATTTCAAAGAGCATGAAATTCTGGGCTAGTTTGGCACGTAGAATTACCTTCAAGCTGGTGACCCCACGCAGTTTTCAAAGGGAAGAGACATTCAGAGGTGGTTCGCCATTGCCTGCCTCTGCATAGAAACCCTGGACTTCCTTTGTGGTCTCCGATAATGAAACTGAAGCTCAAATACTTTGGCCACCCAATGAGAAGGGAGCACTCACTGGAGAAGACCCTGATGCTGGGAATGATTGAAGGTCAAAGGAGACGGGGACGGCAAAGGATGAGATGGTTAGACAGTGTCATAGATGCAACGAACATGAAATTGAGTGAACTTCAGAGGACAGCAGAAGACAGGAGGGCCTAGCGTGACCTGGTCCATGGGGTTGCGAAGAGTCAGACTCGACTGTGCGACTGAACAACAAAAATCCATATACTAACCAGGGCTGACTCTGCTTAACTTCCCAGATCTGATGAGGTTGGGCTAGCCTGGGCCATCCAGACCAGGGCACCGCTGGACTCCCCCAGAACCACGAAGGACTTCCTTGGTGGTCCCTCCTCCAAATACTAACCAGGGCCAGTCCTGCTTAGCTCCCCAGATCTGACGAGGTCTGTGTAGCCTGGACAATCCAGGTCATGGCAAGAACGACACAAGGTTTAAAAAAGAGATGAAAAGGGAATGGTCTCCACCCAGGCTCCATTGCATCAGATATTGCATAATAAATAAAATGAAATAGCATATCTATATTAATATGTGTGTGGGGGGGTTATGTCTGCATTGGAGAAACCATCAACTTCACCATTTATTCCTTTCGGAAAAAATGATGCTGCCTCTCCAGGAACCTGCCCAAGGAGCCTTACGAAATAAAAGTAACAAAAACAAAATATGAAACAATATTCATTAAAATCCAGCATTGGCGGGAAAGGAACCAACATGGCACAGGAAGATTGACCATTAATCCAATTTAGAGTTACCATATTTTGAAAAGCTAGAAAGAGGACATACTTCCCAAATGACTACTTTGAACAAGTGATCACTGTTACAAATCTCATTTTAAATACCCTTTAAGCTGTGATAATTGCTACTAACTAGGAATATTCCTAACCTTCCAACCCAAAAGGGGGACATTTTCATTGGTTTTTCAAAAAGAGTCCAAAAGAGGACAGACACCCCCAAAAAAAGAGGACATGTCCTCTAAAAAGTGCACAGACACACACACACACACAAAAGAGGCCACCTAGTACCAATAAGGATACACAGTTTTGATACAAGCACATCAAATTGTAATTTAGTTTTTTAGCCCCCCCCCAAAAGAGGACATGTCCTCTAAAAAGCGCACAGACACACATATACAAAAAAAGAGGCCACCTAGTTCCAATGAGGATACACAGTTTTGATACAAGCACATCAAATTGTAATTTAGTTTTTTAGGTTCCCTTTTATGTCAAATCTCATGTGTGAGACTTCAAAATGGGTAGAGCTGGTTTTGCTCACGAGCACTCAGGTTTTAATTGGATCAGATCTCCTATGGGGAGGCCTGCCATGGCTTAATAGAGTTTCGGTCTCCATAATATGTAAATTCCCACAGAAATAAATCCCGTGAAGGAGAAGGAGAAGGATGATCAGGGTTATACGCATCATGAGAAAATGGGGTTCATACGAGAGGGTGTAGACTTTCCAATTTCCCGGGGGGGGGGAGGCTGGGGCTGGGCCAGAGGCATTGCTTTGCTAGGAACAAGGGTGGCTCCCGGGGGAGGCTGAGCACCTTCCTGAAAAATTTGGCGGGGGCTGAAGCCCCGCTGCCCCCACGAAGATAGAAGGAAGTCTGATTTTATTCAGTCCAACTTAACTCCCAAGTGTCCCTAGGATGGCAGTTTACAGCACATAGCATAGGTCATGGTGTCCAGTCTTTACCACTGAAGATTCGGCCATGGAGACTGAAAAGACGGAAGGCTGGAGAATCTTCTAACATAGGATTTGATCCAGGAATCAATTTAAAAATTTGTCCAAAATATTTATAAAGATCTAGTGTCCGATTTCCTCTCTATACCTTGGTGAAATACCATCAGGGTTTGACTGAACTGATACCAGCAACTGGAAAGGGGCAGATCTCTTAAGATGGTGTCCTGCACGTGGACCGTAAACAGATGATGTACATTGAAACAGAAATGAAAGGCAGAGTCTACCTCCCACGTGGCCATAGCCAGTGCCAAATGGCAGGAAAGTCGGTCGTCTGCTGGGGCACAAAGACATCCACTGGGCCCACTCGTAGAAGCAGAGGAGAATGGGAGGGAGGGCTCTGCATCCCGCCTCCTTCCCCCCCCTCGCAGTTTGGTGCAGGAGATGCAGGAGTAGCTAGCGACTCTCCTCTCTGGCACCATGAAGGCCCCAGTTGCTCCTGTGCTCCAGGGCTGCATGTTTTTTCATGGGGACTGTTGCTTCTGAGAGCCCAACTAAACCTGAGGGCAAACTTGTGGCCACCATGACTTTGCCCTCACCGTTTCACAGTGAATTTAAAATGCCACAAGGCCCCGAGGTGCCAATGGCTCGTTGTGTGGAACTCTTGAAGAGTTCTGTGCCACAAGCCGACACCAGATCGATCGGGGCCTTGTGGACTTTGTTATTGTGGGGGGGGGGGTTGCATGGCACAATAGGGCTGAACACGTCTTCTACCCCTCAAAACGTACATGGAATTTACAACCACACGGTTGAAAAGTGGGTGCCCCTGCCTTGAAAGGAATCAGCGGTGTGTCCCCCTAGGAGGAGGAGGAGACAGTGGCCACCCATTGGTGATCTCTGACTATCATCATTGGGTCAGAAAAGAGGTCAGCTCTGGGTTCGTGTCTCTAGCCGCTTGGCATCCTGTTGGGATATAGGAGCAAGTTGCTTTCCTGATGTCATGAAAGAATTTACATGTTCACTTGTGCTACTTTCTAGTTAGTTTGCTCAGGGCCAATAGAAAGTACCAGAGCGTAGATGACAATATGCATAATGAGTTAATATAGGGATTGCCTATTGGCTAATCAATAGATTTCAGGATGTCTCAGGGGTAGAGACTCAGGAAACTTCTACTGCCTTTGTTCTAATCTCTTCCCTGGGGCACAGACACGGGGTTTAGCGTTTACAGGGGGGAAAGATGCGGGTTAGAAAGAGCTAGACAGGGTGTTTGTTGCTTTGAACTCCCAGTTCCCTTTTCCCATACGTAATTAGTAAAATTTACTTTTTAAGGGTAATACACTTGTGTGCTGCGTTTTTCCTTTCCTCTGCTACACTGTATACCCAACAGAGGGACACAATCTCAAGGGCCCCCAAAGATTTATCATAAGCATCCAGATGTTGACACTCATCCATGCTCTTTCTAGCAAGCCTGTCGCATGGAGCACCAAGACTATGGCTGGGCTCCTCAGTAAAAGTACAGGAAGGTGCAAAAGACTTCCTTCCCTCCCAGTTCTGAAAGACACTTTCTGATGACTTTTCTACTGGATGGAGCATTGTTTCCAAAGCTATTGAGGTACAGTAATCGGAACAATTGCAGACAGCAAAGGAAACAGAAGTGGGACCTTGCATGGCTTATAGAGTCCGGGGGGGGGGAGGCATTTGTGCTTCTTGAAGGATATTATAATGATTTATTATAAAACTGTGGCTAGAAAAGAAGGATTTTGACTAATGAAACTGAGGGGTCATGAGGTAGTCCAGGATTCTCACCTGCATCCATAATTTTTACTTACTTGTTCAGGACACTCTGAATCTTTAAGACACCCTGCCACCTTTAAGTATGAACACTGTCATATTGATTTCTATTCTACTGGGAAAATGAAGTCTCCCTGGAAAATGTGTGGAGGTCCCTGCCTGTCCCGAAAGAGGGCCTCTCATTCAGTGCCCTGATGAAAGGTCAGACATGCCCCTCACAGAACCTTCCTGATCACTCACAGGTCTGTGGGGAGAAAATTTAATATGTATTTTGGCCAGTAGATTGGATTCCTCTCTCTCCCTTGCTTTCCCCTCCAACACCAGTTTC